TACCTTATTCCCTTGGAACTCCAGCACAAGACACAATAGTAGACATTTGCATAAACAAAGAACACACATACACAAAGAAACATCCCACATCCTTGTTAAGTACTGGAAAGCAGTCAGTCAGTCTCAAAAAGTGACACTGCATGAAGTGTGCCTTTAGAAAAGCTTTCCAGGGATTCAAATTTTTATTTAAAGCTTAATGCACAAAACAGAAATGGAGGCTAACTCCCCTGGCTCCAATTGTTGTCAGAGCCTCACTTCTCTGGACCCATGGTCAGTGGCACGTTCGATGACATCATTGTATTTGGAATGCAGTAATGTCTTTGGCGCATGCACAGACACTTCCTGTGGCCTGTACTATCGTGGCAAGATGGTATCACAGGCCATGTCTGTGCAGTGGCTATATTGTGATTATCAATAACACAATCAGGAAAGGAAACTTTGGATACACTAATCTCACTTAGCACCTCATGGCACTGAATCCAAGCTTACCACCACTAGAATATCCAAATCAGATCATTCAACAGTCATAGAACTAAATTAGAGGCCTTAATACGCAAACAGCAATTAGCACTCTTATTCAAGTCATAAAGTTGTGAATTTAAGCATCACTTTACAGACTTGAGCACAAATCCTGACTGACACTCCATTGCACTGAGGAAGTGCTATGGTGTCCAGGTGCTAGACTTTATTTTCAATTTGGGATTGGGAATCCAATTATCCAACTGGATAACTGCCATGTCCCAACTTCATGCTGCAATCTATAAAATATAGATGGTCTAACAAGGCCGGTGAACCCAGCATCCAGTTGGTGAAACCAACTTGCCAGGCAGAGGGAGCTGTCTACAGAGCATGCTCTGTGAAGAAAGAGGGCAGCCATAACGGAGCCTGCTGCTGCCTCAGAAGTACAGGCAACAAGTCATGGACCAATAATTGTATTACACAGAAGTTATCAGTCAAAAGGCACTGCATGCAATCTCACTCAAAAACCCCGACTAACAAAATTACCTAAATGCTCCCTGCATTTAACCAGACAGCTACACACTAACATGAATGGTTTGGGTTGTGAGACCTGGGAATTGAAAGTCACCTTCTAGTCTTTCCCAGGCTGCTAACAAGCTAGAGGATCATAACAAGCAGTTAATTGGAGGCAGACAAGTTCCTGGCTGTTTCCCTGTCTTTGTCTTGAAAATAGTAATGCATCCCAGGAGTGCAGCACACTGACATGCCAACTATGAGTGTCAGTTTCAAAGTATGTCCATTCCCGACATCATCCTCCAGGAGGTAGAAAGTCTTGGCCATTACTTCTCACACAACTGGTCAGTCTTACCAGACCACAGGTCTGCTCTCTCAAAGACAATTGGTGATGGTTTAACCAGAGAATCCTTCATGGCAAATGTTAGCTGGTGCAGGAATTGCACCCACACTGTTGGCATCACTCTGCACTACAAACCAGCCAACTGAGCTAAACTGACTCTCTCTCACACAAGTCATGATGTGAAACTAAGAGGGGTGACCTTACAGACATTTATGATCATGAGGGGCATAGACAAGGTGATTGGCAAAGGTCTTTCCCCAGGGTCAGGGAGTTCAAAATTCCAGCGCATAATTTTAAGATGAGTGGAGAAAAATTTAAAAGGGACTTAAGGGGCAACTTTTTCCAGAGGTTGGCTTGTACGTGCAATGAACTGCCAGAGGAAGTAGTAAGTGCAGGTACAGTTACAACATTTAAAAGACATTCGGACAGGTACATGAACAGGAAAGGTTTAGATAGATATGGGCCAAACATAGGCAAATGAGACTAGTTAGCTTTGGGTAACTTGGCTGGCATGGATAAGTTGGACTGAAGGGCTTGTTTCTGTGGTGTACGAGTCTGAGTCTAGGTCTAGGTCTAGGTCTACAACTATCACTTTAAGCACTCATTTCATGTGAATATCAAGAATCCACAGTACTAATCAAAAGAGCAGCAGGGCAGTTCTCTCTGTCGAGCACTGAATCTTGGGCAGGGCAATGAAAATAAAAAAAAGACAGACAATCTAGTCATTGTCAGCTATTTGCAGGACCTTGCTGCATTTCTTACATTACAACAGTGATTACACAAAAAGAAACCTCTATTAGCCATTAATGAATGGTAAGGAAACCCAGACCGTGGGACCAAACTAGCCTGGAGATTTCACTTCGAGACAAAGTTGCAGAGGGCTTTGCAGAGATTTTTGCTTCATCTTTAGCTATTGGTGAAGTTCCAGAAGACTGGAAGGTGGCTAATGTTGTTCCATTGTTTAAGAAAGGTAGCAAAGACAAGCCAGGAAACTACAGGCCAGTAAGCCTGACATCACTGGTAGGCAAGTTATTGGAGAGTATACTGAGGGACAGGATCAATCAATATTTGGATAGTCAAGGTCTGATTAGAGATAGCCAGCATGGATTGGTGTGTGGGAAGTCATGTCTGACAAATCTTCTGGAGTTTTTTGAAGAGATAACCAAAAAGATAGATGAGAGTAGGGCAGTGGATGTTGTCTATATGGGTCTTAGTAAGGCCTTTGACAAGGTCCCACACAGCAGGCTAGTTATGAAGGTTAGGTTGCACGGGATCCAGGGAGAGCTAGCTAATCATATTCAAAATTGGCTTGATGGTAGGAAGCAGAGGGTGATGGTTGAAGGTTGTTTCTCAGACTGGAGGCCTGTGACTAGTGGTGTCCACAAGGGTCAGTGCTGGGATCTTTGTTATTTGTTATTTACACAAGTGATCTGGATGGGAATACACACGGCACGATTAGTAAGTTTGCATATGATACAAAATTAGGAGGTATCGTTCATAATGAGGAAGGTTATCAAAAATTACAGAGGGATCTTGATCAGATGGGGAAGCAGGCTAAGAATGGACAAATTCAATTCAATACAGCTAAGTGTGAGGTGTTTGGAAAGTCAAACCAAGGTAGCGCTTATACAGTTAATGGCAAGGTCCTGAGGAGTGTTGTGGAACAGTGGGACCTAGGAGTACAAGTACATAGTTCGTTGAAAGCAGTGTCACAGGTGGACAGGGTGGTGAAGAAGGCATTTAGCATGCTGGCCTTCATTGGTCACAGCACTGAGTATAGGAGTTGGTACATTATGTTGCAGTTGTACAAGTCGTTGGCGAGGACCCACAGAGTATTGTGTACAGTTTTGGTCACCTTGTAATAGGAAAGACACAGTTAAACTGGAAAGTGTGCAAAGAAGATTTGAGGATGTTGCCAGGACTAGTAGGCCTGAGTTATAGGGAGAGGTTGGCCAGGACAGGACTTTATTCCTTGGAACGTAGGAGAATGAGGGTGACCTTATTGAGGTGTATAAGGTCATGAGGGGCATAGATAGGATGAATGCATATAGTCTTTTTCCCCTGGGATGGGGAATTGAAAACTAGAGGGCTTGGGTTTAAGTTGAGAGGGAAAAGATTTAAGAAGAACCTGAGGGGCAACTTCTTCAGAGAGTGGTGTGCATATGGAATAGGCCGCCAGACAAAGTTGTTCAGGCAGGTACAATAGCAACATTTAAAAAACAACTTTGATAGACACATGGACGGGAAGGGTTTAGGGGGATATGGACCAAATGTGGGCAATTGGAACTCGCTGACTGGGCACCATGGTCAGCACAGACCAGTTTAGACTGAAGGGCCTATTTCCATGCTACAATACTGTATGACTCTATGACAAGATGTGATACAACCGATAGCCCAGATTGTTTTGCAGACATGCAAGTTGTTGTGAAAGCTCCACACCTCCCAATTGGGAGAATGATGGCACGGAGAACGGCATGTCTCATATGTAGTCAGAGGATACTGGCTTGTTTAGATTTAAAGGTGGATGGCATTCACAAGAAGGTCACCACTGCTAACCTACTGATGACAATATGATGGCCCACAAGCCATGTGCAGTTCTGTGAACTGCAAGTATTTAACAAACTAGATCCCTACACACACTTTGAGTGTCTTAAACATTAGCCACTATCACTGTACACTTGAGCTCCCAGGGAGTAGTGTTGCCATACTGGAATAAGGAAGAGATCAAGTAATTCAAGGAACAGCACATCATGCTGCTCTTTACTGCTTTTTGGATCAGGCACTGAATTCAACCGTTTCAGATTACGGTCTCGGTTCCTATTCTCCCATCCAAGAGAGCAACTTGGCGATGATTTGCACGGCAACACTTTTGAAAATCATACACTATTGTCAATAAAATGCAAGTATTTCTCACAGCAGAAAAGAACTACCAGACGAAAGCAGTTGTTTGCATTCTAGTTAGTCGCCGTTTAGGCATTTTACACTGTTCCTGCATCGCTTCTAATGAATAAAGACGGCAAAAAAAAAGTGGTACAAAAGACAGAGTTCGCCGCAGACGCCGAGTACTAGAGAAACTTAACAGTCCGTGACTACAACACGATGTTCTTGCAACTCAGCTCACGTTGGAAACAATCCCCAACACACACAGATGCGCTTCCTTTTAATAGATAGTGACGGTTTAAAATAGCTAGGGTTTGATGATGGAAGTGTGTTGGAAGTACTCTTTTAGAACATACAGTTTAAAAAAAGGACAGATACACAGATAGACAGACAGATACACAGATAGACAGACACACAACCTGGCAGAGCCCTGGAACTCTCTAGGGTTTAGAGATCTGTTTGAAAATTTGGGCTCTAACGGTACATTGACACAGAACCATCTCTTTATCCACCCCCTCCAAAAACAAAAGCAAACCGTTCGCAGCCACTGTCCCCCAATCTTGCCTGAACGATGTGAAAAGTGCATGACAAAGGTTCTCTGACACAAATTTAAACCCAGTCTGGTTGAAGAGGCTTGACCCTTAAGGAAAAGTGAGAAGTGATGGGGGAAGTGAAGTAAAGATTGGGGGAAGTGAAGTAAAGATTGGTGCAGGAACGAATCAGGCCGGTCTTCACCCTCTCTTCTGCCTGCCTCCCACCTCAAGAACCACCGCCGGGTTCACGCCCCTCTCGCTCGGTAACTCACCGGCCGCCGCGCCGACCGTCGCACCCGGGGCCGGTGCTCCCGCCGCTGGCGGCAGTGTCCCCGTCGTCGCTGATGCCGAGCCGGTTTTACGGAGCAGGGCCTGGCGACTGAACGCGGGCGAAGAGCCGGACATGAGCTGCAGGAGATCTCGCTGGCGTAACGTCGCGCACAGCCGAGCCGGTGCCTGAAACATTACCGCCCACATCTGCTGCTCTGCTCAGCCCTGGGCCTTACCCTGTCCGGCCAGGCCCAGCCCTGCCCACTATCTGACTGAAGAGAAATGAGCCCATCCCCCTCCCCCAGCAACCAAACCCCCATGGTGACGCGCAGGCGCAGTCTCCACCCACTGGACTCAAATCCGTGACAACAAGGTGCAGGGCTGGATGAACACAGCAGGCCAAGCAGCATCATAGGAGCAGAGAGGCTGACGTTTCGGGCCTAGACCCTGCCTGCTGTGTTCATCCAGCCCTGCACCTTGTTGTCACGGATTCTCCAGCATCTGCAGTTCCTACTATCTTGGACTCAAATCCGTCCCTGGAGAGGGGTAGGGGGGAAGCACACAGGACAACACCAACATTTCAACACGTACTCACAATCGTGGGGATATTTTACCAAATGAAACGGTTCTTTGTCTACATAAAGTGACAGCGGGATTGTCCGTTTTGAAAACATACGTTTGCTCCTTCGGGTTGATGAATTCAATATCTCCATCCACCCCCTCCGCTTGGGGGAGCGTGTGGACTAGCCTATTGGAAGGTTGCAGCGTGTTGGCAGCCTCCACGTCGCGTGACTTGCCAAGTGGCAATGTGGAAGCTCAGCCGAGTAGATGTCCATCCATCGCAGGACACGGGAAAAGACGAAAGAACTGCGGATGCTGTAAATCAGAAGCAAAGACAGAAGTTGCTGGAGAAGCTCAGCAGGCCTGGCAGCATCTGTGAAGATAAATCAGAGTTAACGTTTCGGTAACCCTGATTTCTCTTCACGGATGCTGCCCACTCCTGCAGGGACAAACACAGGAGACTGGCTGTATTGTCAACAAGTGCAAATTCATGGGCCAATGTCCCTGAGGAAAGGGAGTACAGTTTAAGTTTCTCAGGAGTTTTAATAGTCATCACAGCAATAAGTGCCGATTGACCCTTTACCCTGTAAAAAGCAGAGATAGTAGAAACTGCAGATGCTGGAGAATCCGAGACAACAAGGTGCAGGGCTGGATGAACACAGCAGGCCAAGCAGCATCATAGGAGCAGAGAGGCTGACGTTTCGGGCCTAGACCCTTCATCAGAAAAGGG